TACACATCGACGACATTCTCTCTCTCACGGGCCCGTTTACGCTGTCGAGCAGCCGCTGCTTGCTCCGGCGTATATGCTTCGGCCGACCCATTCTTGCGTGCAAATGCTTAGAGCGCCCAAGGAGCGGGCGACCGAAGGCTAGAGAGCAGGTGGCGAGGGTCTATCACTGCCGCCAAACTCGCATTCTCCCGGCGCCGCCAAAGCCACCTGTGATAAACGTGCGTATGCTCCTTTCGCATTCGGCACGACGACACTCTCGCCCAGTGCAACAAGCCCAGTACAGTTGACGCTGTTAAACAGCTGCTGAGAACCGGTAATAGACGCCGCACGCTCATTTCGCAGTCGCCGGAGAGTTTTCATTTTATTTACCGACGGCACTGGCAGTTTGAAACCAAATGAAGTGATTGGCGGACTTGAAATCACAAAGAACAGAAAAAGAAAGGGGGGGGGGGGGTCTCTTTGCGATCACTTCTTGGCAAGCGTATTCGTTGCTGCACCCACTTTCTGGTGTTTAATGGTTTCTAGTAAAGTCAGTGCCCATGTTCGATAACGGCTTATCGGAAGGCTGCCCCCGCGGGACTACTGCCAACGGAGGATGGTGTGTCGACAAGAAAAGAAGAGAGTGATCATCGAGGAAAAAAATTAAAGCGGTGGGCGTACGTAATTATTCCACGCATATTTGACCTTGCTTAGATGCTAATTAGACGCGAGAAGTTCGATTGCGCACGAACAAAACCGGAAGCCGGGCAAGGTTATATTTTTAGTTTCTCCCGTTGACAAAAGGGGCTTTGTAGAAGTAGAGATAACACGAGAATTAAACTAGCTGTGAGGATTTCGCATACCGTCGATGAGATATCGTGACTTATCGCCTGTTATGTTGCACTGTGTTTAAAAGGGGAAGAATGCCGCCGAACGATGGTGACGTTGCTTTGTTCCGATAATCAAGCTGATAATGATGTCTGGCAGTATTTCTTCTTTTTTTTTGGCCGCAATATAGAAAAAAATTTCGCTTTTATGCGGCTGGACAATCGCCTAGGTTGCTTAGTCATAGCGATAACGATGACTGGTGATGGCGTTTCTTTTTTGCTTCCGATACAGAGCGGAAAATGTTTGATGGGGATAAAAAGCTACTCTTATTCAGCTTGTCTACCACCCAGGCAGCGACGGCGCGGCACACTCATGGGGAAAGAAGAAGAACAATTGTTTGTAACATAAATTATATGTGTTATAACTTGTTGTGGGGGACTTATATGCAATTGTGAAGTGCATGTTGTGTGTCATAAGTAGGGTTACGCGTGTTTTCAATACGTACCGATAAACCTCGAAAGTTAGTCATCGACTCGGTTTTTACCAAAATCGGCAAACTTAAAGAAAAGTCCGAGTTGGCGCTGTTATTCGCTAAAGAGGCCCATGCTTCACGCGAAAGATTTGTCTGAAGCTTATTTTGCGATGACTTAAAACAACCCGCAATGAACTGACGTAGAGGCTGCCTATTTCTTCAGGAACCCTTATACAGTTCAGGCTATAACCTCTCTGTTCTTCTGTCCTTAATATCAATCAATCAATGAATCAACACCCCTTATTGGGCTTCCTTGTTTCATTGGTGCCATGACGATTTCGGAGTATTCGAGTCGCGCGCGTGTTCCTTAGAGGTTGAAGAATCCCATAACCGCGTCCTGTTTCCCTCAGTCTAGGTCCCGATAAACCCCGATCTCTGTTCGAAGCCAAACAAATTTAGACGCCGAAAAGCACTTACTCCGCGGGGAAAATAAACCTGGAAAAAAGACCCCCAAGTTCGAAGAAAAATAAACCCCGAAATTACGAAACTCTCCTCTAGTCATAAGTAAGATGTCGGTTGGTGGCGGAACTTGCACATCCTTGTGTATAGCTTAGTTTTGTTTAGCAGCGAAGACGAGTTTCTTTTGGCAGCAGGCAGGGCACATGGCGCGAAGGGGGACCGATAGACCCCTTCTCCTCTTTTCACGTAGTAGCTACGGCTTACTAAGCTTTTTCTTTATCACGATGGCAAATACCCAAGAACTGGGGTTACTGAAGATCATGATAAACCTCCACCAGATGGCCTTAACTCAAATTGTTGTTAATAATTTGGACACTTCAGTAAGAAAGTGATTTATTTTAAAGAACTTTTGCTCCCTTCACCCCTTCACCGGGGACACAGGGACATAGGGCAGCCTTATGAGGTTGCTGCTTTAACCCATTCGAAGGCCGAAAATCGAATCACGAAGAAAGTTCAAACTAGGCCGGGGTTTCTGACGTTGTCAGTGAATATATAGTAGTATACGTGAAGGTGTGCATAATAGATAAATTTAATTGAGAGGTTGCGCGTGTTTTGAAACAATAACTAAAGCTGCATTCGTGTTCGCTCTCGTAAAGAAAGAAATCGTGTACGGGATTTTTTCCGAACGGCAGGTGTCCTCTCTGGAATTTTCCTGTTGGTTTCTTGCCTTCCTTTTGTTTTACGGCCCAACGGTACTAGTGAGGGAGGGGGCGAATCAATCTGTCGAATGCAACTTCACAATGCAGCGTGTCCAACGTACGGAGACATAGACGCGAAGTTAGGTCTAATTCGGCTCATGCTAGAGTGCTCGCAGTAGTTGCGTAATTTGTTTAGGTGGTCTCACACTATGTACACGCTACCGGAAGCACAATTAACTTCTTAGAAGAAAGTAAACAAACACCATGCACGAAAATTTGAAAGCATTGGATGGGGATAAGCCTGTCCTAGCATCGGCGAAACAAAGTTGAAAGATGCGCGATCGCGACGTGTGTGAATTTAGCCGGCTCGGTGGCTCCGAGGCAACGCGCCGGCTTACGGATCTCCAGGTGGCGGGTTCGAATCCCGGCCGCGGTGCGCGCAATCTGACGGAGGCTATTTGTGGAAATAGCGCACGTGTCAACAAGATTTCGGTTGCACGTCAAAAAGTCCCCGGGTGATCGAACCAAATTTATCCTCAGCCCTTCGCTAGGGCGTGCCACATGCCCGTCCTTGGTGTGGCACGTAAAACCCCCAATTCCATCTGACGTGTACAAATTTGGAGCGCAAATGATCACAAGTACAATCCCGAAACTAGGAAGCACACTCAAGTAACCGAGTTTTGGGAAGAGGAATACCGTACGCCTTGTTAATTGGACTTCCTCCTGGATAATTATTGCCGATATTGATTCGCGAAAATAAGCCTAGAGTTAGTTTTGTCAAATAATTCTGACTGTGTCCGTTGCTGCGTGGAATGACAAGCATTCACTTCCCGTGGTGACACATTTGCGACGAGTGATGAATGGTGTGCCAGTTGGGAAAGGTGAGTTGCAGCAAAGAAGTGGCGGAGCACCACAGCGAATTCGAACCGCGCTCTGATTAGTTTGCCGTTCGCCAGTGGGCCCCCGCCCCCGACTCGGGGTTCCCCTCGCACGGAACGCCTGTTTTTTTGTGTGTGAAATGCACGAAACTGTCCGAGCTGCATCTCCCATTATCATAGAAATTGCGCTTCACGTTTCTGGAGAAACACGCGGAGAAGGCAAACCTCCTGAACTGACGCTTCATGGTGTTTAGCTAACCGATTATTTAGCGAGAGATTTGCTGCGGATTACTGATCCTCCTGCTGGTGACCGACCCCCTCCTTTATGTTGGATACCACAGCTAAATACAGCTGGATATTTGCTAAATCTCCACATGGTTGTTCGCGTCCAAGCAGTTGTGGCGTAAGCTCGTGAACATGCATTTGTCTGCACTGCAGATGTTTGAGAGATGGAGCATAGGTGGTGTTGCCAAAGCACGCGCTAACGCACAGACACCGAAGACGACACCGGCCAGAATCCCTTTAGTTTAACCTTCTACGCTCCCCCTCACAAGGGCGTGGCCCAATCGAAGGCGTTGGCGCGAGGTTGAAGCTTCGAAAAAGTTGTTTTGTTTCCACGACCACTCGCGCAAGAAACAGTAGCCACGCGTTCGCGCGCGCGCTTCTCGCGAGACTGGTTATTCTCAGGGACAACTTTTTGTTGCATTTCCGACAAAAGGGGGAGTGCTCGTGCATAGCTTTAATTGGCGCTCAAGCACGCGCTTTCGTGCCTTTTACTGCATAGCTACAACACATTTGTCTTCGAGTATATAACTCTTGCGGTAGGAGAGAGAGTCGTCCCTTTCCATTTTACAGCGGTAGCTGTTAGTGCCTCTTGCCGGCAAAAAATACGCATGTATGAACCCAAAACCCCACTCTACGGCAGAGGCACCGCTCTCTTTCTCGTCGTTCCTCATAGATATACGCCAAGTGCAGCTCTCTCTCGCTATACCCCCCGCCCCTCCCCCCCCCCCCCCTTTCTGTAGGCCACCGCTGCTCACGCAGTTTCTAACAACCCACGTGGTCACGGAGAGAGCGCTCTCCACCTCTCCATCGTTGCTGCTACCTCCATCTACCCTCCGGCAACGCTCTCAGTCCCCCCCCCCTCCCCCCCTCCGGCAGCCGCCGTTGCGAAATGCCAACGTGGTCGAGCTGTACGGACACGCTCCCTCGCCTCCGCACTGCCGCCCCCCAGGTTTCGTTGCCATGCACTCCCCGCGCCCCTACAGAACAGCTCGCGTACTTAGTTTCGCTTCATCCACCACAGGCGCCGTGGCCTCCATTCTGAAATAGCGGTTAAGCCAAAAAAAGCCCATCTCTGTACCATTTTCTAACGCATGCAACATCTCGCACAATCATTTCACCAAAGTACACATCTCACACATATCTTCTACATCAATACCACTGAAAGCAAAGACCCCATTGCAAACATTGTACACTGACTGAAGGCAAATCTTCAACGTGCCTTTCCACGACGCAGCAGCTACCGCTGTCAATCGCAGCACACTTGCTGGGGTCGTTTACAATTTTGAAGTACGCACTAAGCGGATGGTTTGAGATCAGAATGAAACTAACTGTCTCTTTCAGAACCTGTTGGGCATTTCTGATTGTATGGTCTCTAAGACTGGCCTTGCTTGTCTTCTCCAGGCAATGACTTGAAAGGGAGAAGGTCTTGGTATGGCCGGCGACGACCACGTGCACCAGCGCGTCACTAACGGCTGCGGCAGCCCCGACGACTCGGTCAGGCTGAAGAACGGAAACGGCATCCTGTCCACCAACGGCAACCACCACAAGGGCCTCAATGGCGGCGGGGACGCTCTCGCCTGCAAGGCTGCCCTGCAGCCCTACGAGGAGGACCCGGACTCCATATGCGGCCTCTGGTTTTTCAAGCCGAGGTGAGTCGGAATCCAGCTTGGGATGGAGTACGGACGCCGGGCGTGTTAATCTGAGATCGCCGAATATGATTACTTCATTTTGTTTTCAGGCGGGCGAGCACTGCTGTTGTCGTCTCGTGTGTTTGCCAGAAGTGCCATTAATTTAACTGTCATGCATAGGTAGCTTCATCTGTATTTTTTACGTAGTTAACCCATTTATATATGCACATTGTACTAAGTTCCGACTCCTAATTGCTAAAGTTATCAGCTGTACGTGTAAAACTGCAATGTCGATATTTCAACTTCCAATAATGGTACTTTATTTCAGTTTAACCATCACTAGACAATTTAAAAAATTAAAACAAAATGAAACGACGCTCAATTTAGATGCAGCGTTAATGTTCTTAGTCATTCCAGTGAATGCCTCCAACCAGTTCTTATGTTTTTTCTCTTTATGGTATCTCGAAAATAGGTTTAGCAAATGGCTAAGGTAAACCTTTTCGTCAGACGCTTCTCCTATCACGCCAGTCCTAAGCGCTGAAGCTTTACGCGCGCGAGTCGGTGCAAACGGTGAATCTTTGCCTGCGCATACCAGTGCGAAGCGGGGAAGCTTTACCTGCGTGCGCCGGTTTAAAGCGGGGAAGTTTTACGTGCCGCGCCGGTGTATAAGCGGCGAACCTTTACGCGCGGCAGGCGGTGCAAACAAGTTTTCAAGTTTCAAGTTTCTTTATTCCTCTTCATACAAGAAGAGAGGGAGGAGGGAAAAAAGCAGTACAAAACTGCTTGACAGTGCCCTCTCCTCCCCCAACAGCAACAGCAGAAGGGGAACTCAAAACAAAAAACGCTCTCAAGAGTACACATTCAGATTTCTCGCAAAACTAGTAAAGATAGTATGCGTTTGTTAGAACAGTTTTTAATTGTAATATTCCGCGACAAAAATAGTTTAACATTTTGGGCAGCTGGTAGCTCACCATATGATTTCCGTGGTTTGTTCTCGAGCGCGGGACCGTCCAGGCGTCGGCATGGCGGGTGGCATACGAGGTGTTTTGTGAGTGAAGTGAAGAAAGAGAAAGAAGACTGTTTCCCGGGTGGTTTATGGCTGCTTTATATGCCAGGGCAAGTTTATACTCATAATGATTCGTGATAGGAACAATTCCTAATTTCTTGAATAACGGTGCCGTGTGGCTGTCGTGTGCTTCATTACACAAAATACGAATTACTTTTTTCTGAAGTATATGAATACGATGAGTATTTGCAGAAGTTGTATTTCCCCATACCAAGAAACAGTAATTAAAACAAGAGTGAACAGTGAACCTTTACCTGTGCTCGCCGGTGGAAAGCGGGGAAGCTTATTCGACCCGCGACGGCGCAAAGCGGTGAAGCTTTACGCGCCACGTCTGTGTAAGTGGGGAAGTTTTAGGCGCGTGAGACGGTGCAAACGTGAAGCTTTACCTGCGCACGCCGGTATAAAGCGGTGAAGCTTTACGCGCCGCGCCGGTGTACGCGGTGAAGCTTTACGCACGCGCTAAGGTGCAAACGCTGAAACTGTATCTGCGCACGCTGGTGCAAAGCGGTGAAGCTTTACGCGCCGCGCCGCTTTAAGCGCGAAGCTGTACGCGCGCGCGGCGGTGCCGACGGTGAAGCTTTACCTGTGCACGCCGGTGCAAAGCGGTGAAGCTTTACGCACCACGCCGGTGTAAGCGGCGATGCTTTGCGCGCTCGCGCCGGTGTAAGCGGCGATGCTTTACCCGCTCGCGCCGGTGTAAGCGGCGATGCTTTACCCGCTCGCGCCGGTGCAAGGCGGTGAAGGTCTACGCGCCGCGCGAGTGTAAGCGGCGGAGCTTTGCACGCGCGCCGGTGCAAACGGTGAAGCTGTACCTGCGCACGCCGGTGCAAGGCGGTGAAGGTCTACGCGCCGCGCGAGTGTAAGCGCCGAAGCTTTACGGGGGCGCGCCGGTGCAAACGCTGAAGCTGTACCTGCGCACGCCGGTGCAAGGCGGTGAAGGTCTACGCGCCGCGCGAGTGTAAGCGGCGAAGCTTTACGGGGGCGCGCCGGTGCAAACGGTGAAGCTGTACCTGCGCACGCCGGTGCAAGGCGGTGAAGGTCTACACGCCGCGCGAGTGTAAGCGCCGAAGCTTTACGGGGGCGCGCCGGTGCAAACGCTGAAGCTGTACCTGCGCACGCCGGTGCAAGGCGGTGAAGGTCTACGCACCGCGCGAGTGTAAGCGCCGAAGCTTTGCGCGCGCGCGACGGTTCAAACGGTGAAGCTGTACTTGCGCACGCCGGTGCAAGGCGGTGAAGGTCTACGCGCCGCGCGAGTGTAAGCGGCGGAGCTTTGCACGCGCGCCGGTGCAAACAGTGAAGCTGTACCTGCGCACGCCGGTGCAAGGCGGCGAAGGTCTACGCGCCGCGCGAGTGTAAGCGCCGAAGCTTTGCGCGCGCTTGACGGTTCAAACGGTGAAGATGTACCTGCGCACGCCGGTGCAAGGCGGTGAAGGTCTACGCGCCGCGCGAGTGTAAGCGGTGAAGCTTTGCGCGCGCGCCGGTGCAAACGGTGAAGCTGTACCTGCGCACGCCGGTGCAAGGCGGTGAAGGTCTACGCACCGCGCGAGTTTAAGCGCCGAAGCTTTGCGCGCGCGCGACGGTTCAAACGGTGAAGCTGTACCTGCGCACGCCGGTGCAAGGCGGTGAAGGTCTACGCGCCGCACGAGTGTAAGCGGCGGAGCTTTGCACGCGCGCCGGTGCAAACGGTGAAGCTGTACCTGAGCACGCCGGTGCAAGGCGGTGAAGGTCTACGCGCCGCGCGAGTGTAAGCGCCGAAGCTTTGCGCGCGCGCGACGGTTCAAACGGTGAAGATGTACCTGCGCACGCCGGTGCAAGGCGGTGAAGGTCTACGCGCCGCGCGAGTGTAAGCGGCGAAGCTTTGCGCGCGTGCCGGTGCAAACGGTGAAGCTGTACCTGCGCACGCCGGTGCAAGGCGGTGAAGGTCTACGCGCCGCGCGAGTGTAAGCGGCGAAGCTTTACGGGGGCGCGCCGGTGCAAACGCTGAAGCTGTACCTGCGCACGCCGGTGCAAGGCGGTGAAGGTCTACGCGCCGCGCGAGTGTAAGCGCCGAAGCTTTACGGGGGCGTGCCGGTGCAAACGCTGAAGCTGTACCTGCGCACGCCGGTGCAAGGCAAAGAAGGTCTACGCACCGCGCGAGTGTAAGCGCCGAAGCTTTGCGCGCGCGCGACGGTTCAAACGGTGAAGCTGTACCTGCGCACGCCGGTGCAAGGCGGTGAAGGTCTACGCGCCGCGCGAGTGTAAGCGGCGGAGCTTTGCACGCGCGCCGGTGCAAACGGTGAAGCTGTACCTGCGCACGCCGGTGCAAGGCGGTGAAGGTCTACGCGCCGCGCGAGTGTAAGCGCCGAAGCTTTGCGCGCGCTTGACGGTTCAAACGGTGAAGATGTACCTGCGCACGCCGGTGCAAGGCGGTGAAGGTCTACGCGCCGCGCGAGTGTAAGCGGTGAAGCTTTGCGCGCGCGCCGGTGCAAACGCTGGAGCTGTACCTGCGCACGCCGGTGCAAGGCGGTGAAGGTCTACGCACCGCGCGAGTGTAAGCGCCGAAGCTTTGCGCGCGCGCGACGGTTCAAACGGTGAAGCTGTACCTGCGCACGCCGGTGCAAGGCGGTGAAGGTCTACGCGCCGCGCGAGTGTAAGCGGCGGAGCTTTGCACGCGCGCCGGTCCAAACGGTGAAGCTGTATCTGCGCACGCCGTAGCAAGGTGGTGAAGGTCTACGCGCCGCGCGAGTGTAAGCGGTGAAGCTTTGCGCGCGCGCCGGTGCAAACGGTGAAGCTGTACCTGCGCACGCCGGTGCAAGGCGGTGAAGGTCTACGCGCCGCGCGAGTGTAAGCGGTGAAGCTTTGCGCGCGCGCCGGTGCAAACGGTGAAGCTGTACCTCCGCACGCCGGTGCAAGGCGGTGAAGGTCTACGCGCCGCGCGAGTGTAAGCGGTGAAGCTTTGCGCGCGCGCCGGTGCAAACGGTGAAGCTGTACCTGCGCACGCCGGTGAAAGGCGGTGAAGGTCTACGCGCCGCGCGAGTGTAAGCGCCGAAGCTTTACGGGGGCGCGCCGGTGCAAACGGTGAAGCTGTACCTGCGCACGCCGGTGCAAGGCGGTGAAGGTCTACGCGCCGCGCGAGTGTAAGCGGTGAAGCTTTGCGCGCGCGCCGGTGCAAACGGTGAAGCTGTACCTGCGCACGCCGGTGCAAGGCGGTGAAGGTCTACGCGCCGCGCGAGTGTAAGCGGTGAAGCTTTGCGCGCGCGCCGGTGCAAACGGTGAAGCTGTACCTGCGCACGCCGGTGCAAGGCGGTGAAGGTCTACGCGCCGCGCGAGTGTAAGCGGTGAAGCTTTGCGCGCGCGCCGGTGCAAACGGTGAAGCTGTACCTGCGCACGCCGGTGCAAGGCGGTGAAGGTCTACGCGCCGCGCGAGTGTAAGCGATGAAGCTTTGCGCGCGCGCCGGTGCAAACGGTGAAGCTGTACCTGCGCACGTCGGTGCAAGCCGGTGAAGGTCTACGCGCCGCGCGAGTGTAAGCGGTGAAGCTTTGCGCGCGCGCCGGTGCAAACGCTGAAGCTGTACCTGCGCACGCCGGTGCAAGGCGGTGAAGGTCTACGCGCCGCGCGAGTGTTAGCGCCGAAGCTTTGCGCGCGCGCGACGGTTCAAACGGTGAAGATGTACCTGCGCACGCCGGTGCAAAGCGATGAAGCTTTACCTGCGCACGCCGATGCAAAGCGGTGAAGCTTTACGCGCCTCGCCGATGTAGGCGGTGAGCTTTACGCGCGCGCGCCGGTATAAATGGTGAAGCTTTACCTGCGCACGCCGGTACAAGGCGGTGAAGCTTTACGCGCCGCGCGAGTGTGAGCGGCGAAGCTGTATCTGCGCAGGCCGGTACAAAGCGGTGAAGCTTTCCGCGCCGCGCGAGTGTAAGCGGCGAAGCTTTACGCGCGCGACGGTTCAAACGGTGCAGCTGTAGCTGCGCA